CAGCGATGCTGACCACTAACTAACTGCTGTTCAGATGGGCTGCACCTGTCAGACTGCCTGGAGTCTGGCCTGGGCAACCTGAAGAAAAACAGGTTTCCTTTAGGAATTCCCTCTTTCCAGTCTCCCCTCCATCTCTGTTGCAAAGGTGAGCAAGGATCTCAGGCACAGAACATGCTTGAGGATCACAGGGAGTCCCAAGGGATGAAAAGACACAGTCCCTTGTCCTTGGCATTGCTGGGCCCTAATAGGGCAGATAATACCAACACTCAATCAGCAGAAATCACAGGCGGAGGCACTAACATATAAGCACAGACATTCTGCAGACCTAAAAACAGGTTACAATAGAAAGAACAAAGCCACATGGAATCGACTTAAGAAACAGCTATTTAAGTTTATAGTCATGAGTATGCAAAAACAGTTTATTCTTGTATTATTATTTATTCATTATTGTACTATTTTCCATATGGACAACTGTAAGCCTACGTTTGCCCTACCCTGTATTTCTAAAATGGGGGAAGAGCTATGACTGGGAGCAAGGAGGGAGTGAGCTAAGAAAGGAGAGAGATGCCCCAGGTACTGGCTTAGGAGGGAGGTGGACGGACATGGTGCAGGTGTTCAGGGCAGCAGGGGAAGCCTTGCTTGAGGGCCTGTGAGAAGATGACAGCAGTTAGATGTGGGGGGAGGGAGGCAGCTAATAAGGGCATGTACCTTGGTTGCAGGCACATCCCCAGTAGGGGGTGTGCAGGAGGCAGCTGAGCGATGTTTCTCTCTCATCAATGTTTCTACCTCTCTATCCCTCTCCCTTCCTCTCTGTAAAAAATCAATAAAATATGATTTTTTTTAAAAAAAGAATAATCTCACCTAACTCGTCAGGTTTTGGGGGGCCGGGCGGGGAGAGCAGGGGTGTGGACATGAAAAACAACTGTAAAGCTCCAAGCACAGGGCCTGGCACAGAGTGGGCACTCCGAAGGTTTGCCGTTGTCCCTCTTCTTCACCACCCTGGGCAACCTGAAGAAAAACAGGTTTCCTTTAGGAATTCCCTCTTTCCAGTCTCCCCTCCATCTCTGTTGCAAAGGTGAGCAAGGATCTCAGGCACAGAACATGCTTGAGGATCACAGGGAGTCCCAAGGGATGAAAAGACACAGTCCCTTGTCCTTGGCATTGCTGGTCCCTAATAGGGCAGATAATACCAACACTCAATCAGCAGAAATCACAGGCGGAGGCACTAACATATAAGCACAGACATTCTGCAGACCTAAAAACAGGTTACAATAGAAAGAACAAAGCCACATGGAATCGACTTAAGAAACAGCTATTTAAGTTTATAGTCATGAGTATGCAAAAACAGTTTATTCTTGTATTATTATTTATTCATTATTGTACTATTTTCCATATGGACAACTGTAAGCCTACGTTTGCCCTACCCTGTATTTCTAAAATGGGGGAAGAGCTATGACTTGGGAGCAAGAGGGAGTGAGCTAAGAAAGGAGAGAGATGCCCCAGGTACTGGCTTAGGAGGGAGGTGGACGGACATGGTGCAGGTGTTCAGGGCAGCAGGGGAAGCCTTGCTTGAGGGCCTGTGAGAAGATGACAGCAGTTAGATGTGGGGGGAGGGAGGCAGCTAATTGGTAGAGACCCTTGAAACCCATGATTAACAGTTTTAATTTAATTCAAGAGGCAATTGGAACTACTGTAGGCTTCTAAGAAGGGCAGTGATATGATCAAAATGCTTGAGGACAGTGGCTCCTGCTGCTGTGAGCAGGGTGAATTGTGTGAAGACACTCAGGCAGGGTGGCTGGTCTGAGGCTACTTCATGATCCAGGGTGACAGGGCCTTGGCCTAGCACAGGGCTCTGGGGATGGGATGGAGGAGCAGAACTGGAATAGATTACAGGGGATAGACATTCATTTGTCCTTCTTAGAACCAGGGACACCTGGGGAACAGGCGCAGAGGTTGGGACGGGCAGAGACAATTAAGCATTTATCATGTGGTGAAATAAGTGCTGTGACCATTGAATCCGAGAAATAGGAAAGTGCAGAGCAGAGCAGCACCCAACTGAGTCATGGGGCGGGACCTAGGTGGTCAGGGAAACCTTCCCTGAGGATGTGGTGTTAAACTGGGAATTTGATGAAGAACCAGAAATTAATTGAGTGAAAAAATCATCGGGTGATACGTTCTAGGCAAGAAGCTCCCAGGTGAAAGGGCAGGAGTGGAGCTGTGAAGGAAGAATGGTTTCTGGAGAGGCTCAAGAGAGCTAGCAGGGTGGGAACAGACCAAGAGGGGCCTCGAGTCTGCAAGATAGACTGCAGACTTTATCCTAAGGGCAGTGGAGGGCCAGAAGAGAGGCATGGTTTATTGTTCATTTTAGAAAAATCTCTCTGGCTGTGTTGTGGGAGAAAAGGATGGGGTGTGGCACTTTCTAGGATGGGAGACTTGCCGTAGTCCAGGGGAGAGATGATTGGGAGGTAGAGATGGAGACATGCAGATGCGTAGGATGTAGAACTCATGGGGGTGAGAAAGAGATCGAGAGGAAGAGAGCATTAGCAGAGACGTCATTAGCCCACAGAGGGAGAGGTATTCTCCCCGATCACACAGCCAGCTCATGGAATCATCAGTACTAGGATCCAAGTCTCTGGTTCTTTATAAAATAAGGAACTTTCATATCTCTCCTCAACATGTTTTCCTCTACATCCTCACAATTTACAATAGATATTTTAAGTTCTTCGTCTGCTCATTCCATCACCTCTGTCATTTCTGGATCTGTCTCTATTGGTTGATTTTTCTCCTGGGTGTGGGCCATCTTCTCCTGCTTCTTCATATGCCTGGTCATTTTTCCTAGATGACAGACATTGTGAATTTTACATTGCGGGACACTGGATTTGATATATTCTGACATGCAGCTAAGTTACTTGAGTTTGATCCTCCCAATGCTTTCGTTTAAGCTTTTTCAGGGCAGATCTGAGGAGCCTGTAGGACTTCTGCTTTCAGCCATGATGGAGTAAGAGGGACTGGATTTACCCTCTGACCTGCAACACCAACATGACCAGATTAAATGTGTGAAACAGCGGTGATCAGGCAATGGAGGACAGTGGTCTCTGAGAGATAGGAAACTAATGAGGTGAGTCCTATGATTTCCTTAGCTTTCTGTCTGGAGTGGTTTCTAGGCCACAGCAAAGTGGAACTCTGGTGGATCCTGTTGGACTCCCTGAATGGAGGAGATGGAGCTGAGAGTCTGGGGAGACCAAGGCAGGTAAAGTTCACAGCACAGAGTGCCAGAGAAGAGAGGACTGCACATGGGGAGAAGCCAGAGACTGCAAAAAACCACCTTCAAATAGTCCATAGAGTGTTTATCAGCATGAATATGGGGGGCAGGGGCGGGGAGTAAACCAAGGTTGGAAAAATAACTATCTAAATGGATCAGAGAGAGTAATACCTGGTACTGGCACAGACCTAAGAATAGTGTCTGTTCCCACCAGCCAGACCAGAAAACCCCAGAATTCATGGAGGGTTGGTAGTCCTCAGAAGGGTCTTGCTTCAATAATGGGGAATGATTATTAGCCCTAGACTAAACACTGCTCTAGTTTACTCTAAAATATCTTAAACAAAAGGACCAAGTGATTCTCAAATACCTTAACTTAATTTCAGAAAAAATATTGAATTGTTATAAAAATTCAAAAATATATATTACCCAACTAAATAAAATGTACAATGTCTGCCATCAAATCAAAGATTACCAGATATTCAAAAAAGCAAGAAAATATGCCTATTATGAGTGTGTGTGAGAAAGGGGAGGAAGAGAGAGAGAGAGAGAGAGAGAGAGAGAGAGAGAGAGAGAGAGATTTAGAAGTCTTGAAGGAAGAAGAGGAGTTCATCTTGTAGACAAAAGGCCCTACTTTGGCAACCCAGTAGGAGGGATTGTTATGAACAAAGATTTGGGCATGAGAAAGAATGTGAGTATGGAACATGGAGAAGGTAGGTGTGAGTAGTGTATAGAGTATAGAATATAGACAAGGAGAGGAGGGTGACCACACTGGAAAGTGGGCCAAACAGAGTCCTAGGACAAGCCATTCTTCCAGTTGCTTAAAATAAATATTTTAAAACTTGCAATCACCATTGGTTCCTCTTCCCCTCCTCCCTCCCGCCCTCCTTACACCCATCCCAATAGCAAGCCATGTTGGCTCTACCTTGATAAAACATGGAAGTCAGTCACTTCTCACTACCTGCATGAGCCCCCTTTGTGCAGGTGACCACCATCTCTCTGATGGAGCACTGCAATAGCCTCTGAGCAGGCCTCCCTACCTCTGGCCTCATCCAGCCCTCCCTAGCATTCTACTCACACTGTAGCCAGAATAACCTTTTAAAAACTGAAGTTAGATTAAAACTCTCCTCTGTTGAAACATTTTAAACTCACAATAAAATCCAAAGTCCTTATAATGCCCACAAAGTCCAACACCCCCCAACACCCCTACCCCCCCCCCTCTGCCCTACCCACCACCTCCACCACCACCACCACCTCCTACCTCTTACCCTCGCTCTGTTCCAAACACACTGATTTGCTCCTTGCCACCATGGGACCTTCTTCCACTGCTGTTTCCTCCAGCTGGTGAGCTCTTCCTCCAGGTTTCCACTTGCTTCTCTCACTTCCCCAGTCCCTGCTCAAAGTCACCTTCTCACTGAAGCCCGTCCTTTCCTGCCCAACCCAGGATGCACTGGCCTTCCCTTTCTTTCTTTCTTTTCTTTTTTTTTAAAATATGTTTTATTGATTTCAAAGAAGAAGGGAGAGGGAGAGAGAGATAGAAACATCAATGATGAGAGAGAACCATGGATCAGCCACCTCTTGCATGCTCCCCACCGGGTGACCAGGAATTGAACCTTGACCTTCTGGTTCATAGGTCAATGTTCAACCACTGAGCCACGTCGGCAGGGCATGGCCTTCCCTTTCTTCATTCCAGATCCCTTTGCTGGTTTTGTTTTCTCCCATAGCACTTATATACTTACTTGTTTATGTATTGTTTGTCCCCCCACCCCCACCCCCGACTAGAGTATCAGCTCCACGAGTGCAGGATTTTGGAGTGTTCTGTTCACTGCTGAAGTCCCAGCACCCAACACAGCACAGATATTTACAGTATGTGCTCTGTAAATATCTGGGGAATGAATGAATACCGGTGGAAGAATTTTAAGCAGAGGAGTCCCATGGTCATATTTTTGACTTCGAGATAGTCCTCTTAAGGGCGCTGAGGCTGAAACAGGAAGATGGGCAAGAGGTGTTAAAGGTCTTGGCACAGAGAAGGACTAGATTCTAAAGGTAGTTATAAAAAGCACAGAGGTCAAAAGACTGTTTACAGACTGACTGAGATTAGAGATACCACTGAAAGGTAAGTTCCATTTGACCTACTGAATATTTAGTATTTGCCGTGGGCAAGGGATCATGGGAGAGAGGATGAGAGCAGAGATGGGGCAGATTGTGCCCCAAGGTGAGTCGAGGGCACAAGAGAAGTTTAGTGCAAGTGCTGGGACAGTGGAAGAGGAAGATACTTGATTTCCATCAGAGGAGGAAAGGAGAGAAGATTCAGGGAGTGTGTAAGCGGGGTCTTGAAAAATGGGTACGGTTTCAAGGGCAAAGACTGGAAAGGTGATATTATAGATTGTGAATTTCACCATCTCTGCCATTACGGACAAAACTTTTGATGGAGTTGCTAATGACTTGAGAAATAGTTCTTCCCATACCCCATAAAATAAGATGTTTTAGAAGAGGGTGAAGGACACTGAAAAGCAGAAAGGAAGAGTCAGGATAATTCACCACCTGGATCATTTGGTCCAGAACATGTGAATCATGCCAATAAGATTTTAAGAAACCAGGGACAAAAATCAATTCCTTGCTCAGATGCATCACAGAGGGAACAACAACAAAAAGTCCTCCCAGTGAGGAACTCTGCTGACTCCTGGACTTTGTCCTGGGAGAACAATTTTCTGCTGGTGGGATATTGTTTTACAGGCAATGTTAAGATCCTTGGTAAGCAGGACTCCTGCTTAAAGCTGACAGTCATGCTGACTTGCAAAGCTTGCCTACATTTTTAATAAAACTGTCAGATTAAGCAATGCCTGGCTACAGTATATTATTAATACAGATTCTTACCTGTCAATTACTTAACTGGCTAGTAAAAAGAACTGGTTTATAAGATTGCTACTAGTGAATATAATGCTTTGTTCTCCAGAAAAACATCTGCTTTGGATATGCATTTTGAAAAAGTGCCCCCTTTCTACTCCCCACAGGGAGAACATGTGCAGTTGAAAAAGGAGCTTATTATACCTGTGAGGGGTCAAGGCCTGTGGATCTGTGGCTTATGGTATTATGACAGATTACAAAATTACTCCATTATGTTAGTCAGTCTGTTCCCAAGCACCTAGCCAAGAGCTAGCTGGGCACTGGCAGCTCCGAAACAAGATTCCCATCGGTTTTCGTCCTCAGGGCTTGTGACAGGTCAGCTGTTGTTGACATCATCCCACGGCTCACTCACGTGTCAGAGCCTGTCTATCTGACCTCTGCATCTGCTACAGCCACACTCTCCTGGGAGAGTCAGCCTGGGCCTCAGGCCTCAAGCAGCTCCCAGGAAGAGCTAGAGAGGATTGTGAATCCATGGGCAGCCCCATCACTTGTGCTAACAAGAGGGACCAGGAGGCAGAACACTGGAACCCCATGTGTCCTTTGTTCTGACTCTCCCTCTCACCCATCCTTCCTCCAAGCCCCCCCTTTTTCTCCCCTACTATTTCCCTGGTTCCCCATCCCATGCCCTCTTCCATAGGCATATGCTTTCTTATCCTATCTAATAAAAGAGTAACATGCGAATTAGCCATCACTCCGTCACTCCATCACAAAGATGGCGGCTGCTATGGAGATGGAGCAAGCAGGAGGCTTGGGTTGCCCCCAGAGATGGAGGAAGCCAAGCTTCCCACCTGCCCTGGCTGGCAGTTGGCTCCGT